TTATAGAAGAAATATACAAAAGTCATTGTTGTAAACTATTTACTTTTCCTGAAATAAAGTGTGCAGTTTTGGGATTTTTAGATAATAGACATGAAAAGGAATGACGTAAGCCAGAAATATTCTAAAATTGAAACAATTTTTTTGATAGACTGCTTGCTAGATCCGATTCTCTCTTTAAATGTCAATATCTGGGTTTACGCGTTCTTTACCATTGGTCTGAGATTCGACCCTTGATGAGGCATGATTAGGTGACCTGAAGTCAAGGTCATTCCTATGTAAAATATCAATATCTATGTATTTGGTGATTTAAAGTCCTTTCGGCTGCTGTGACCCTTGGCAACCAACGATTAGGTGAACTGAGTTCAAGGCCAATGTAACTAGGTCAAGTTTGTTTCAAGATCAAAAATTAATATCTAAGTATTTGGCGTTGAAAGGACCTTGAGGGCTACAATGACCCTTGACGACACATGATTAGGTGACCTAAGGTCAAAGTCAATGTGTATTGGCCAACGTTATTTCAAGGTCACATCTAGGTACAAGTATCTGGCGTTTCACGAGGTTTCAACAAGTTCATCTCAATTCAAAAATCAGTCAAAGTCAAGTTATCAATACAGGTATTTTGCATTTTATTGAGGCTGCTGCTATATGGGGACCCTTCGTGATCCACTCGAACATGTAGATTTCTAGTATTTGTAAAGATGTATAAAAGTTAAAATGTATACTTTCCATGAGCTCCTATCGTTGGATTTAAATAAGGAGTATGATTTTAAAATTGGCTAGGTCATGGTTAAGCAACAATAGTATGTTCGAAATACCGCTGTGTAATGCCCGGATCACATTTGCTGCGAGTATTTTGTTCAAAATTGAATACATTTCTGAACACAATACTCAATCGGCCGGGTGCCGTAGTGAAAATCGGAGCAAATGTGACCAAGACATAAAACAATCGAATAATACTGTATCATTTTCACATTTACAGCGGTCAAAAGCATTCACAAAAAAACGCCAGAGTTGGCAATCATATAAAATAAAATCAATCCCGCTGTGATTCAAAGAAATAACTAATTTACTGCATTGAGTTCAATGTTATAACCATGTCGATTTACATGAGTGTCCGATTCATTGTACCAAAGGATCTTGTACACCTGCCATTATGATCTCCCCATGAACAAAATGAATCATTTTTAGGTGTAATATAAAGAATACAATGTTACATAATACTTTGGAAAATATTTAAGCGTTTGGCCCCACATGGGCTGAGGTTGGGGTCATTAAGTTCAGGAAGGGTGTATTGACTTGACATTGGATGTGTTCTATTGACTTAACATGTGGATACCATCAGATTCCAATGGAGGCCATTGGTTTCTATTGATTTTCACAAAAATACCTAAAATACACTATGACCTGAATCGATTGCAAATTAAATAATTTCACAATATGACACAAATGGTATTTCAGATCAGATGTGCAAATATAAAGTTTGCAATCGATTCAGGTCATACTTCAAATTAAAAGATTATTCTTTTTTTCATCATTTTTTTCCTACAAAATGGCTATAGAAAAATGCTTCAAAAGCAACTTTTACACTTATGATATCCCATACAACTTTGTAAATCCAAAGATTATACTGTTATGATTCATTAATTAATAACATATTTTGATAAGATGTAGGGATGTGTAGGATGCAAATGGATTTTGACAGACACAAAAAGACTTCCTGGTTTGGCATCTCTACCCCTGTACACTTTATGATTGAATATTGCCCTAAAAAGTGGCCCATTCATCAATACAGTGCTGAATATAGGTCAACAAGATACTAGTGTACATATAAATGTAATAATAAAAGCAGTATATTTATTTTGAAAAATCAGATGAATTTATTTTTGTTCATGGGGAGATCATAATGGCAGGTGTACAAGATCCTTTAAACATTGACTGTTCTCCAGAAAGCAATAAGCTGACATATATCATATTTTACATTTTAATACAACTGAAAAGATAATAAATGTTTTAATATAAAGTTGACGTAGTTATAAATGTTTTCAGCGCAAAATCAAAGCACAACCATATAATTTAAAAAAATTACGCTGGGATTCCAACTGGATACAACTGACGAGTTGTATTTAAGGTGGCCTAAAGTGCTGCTTATTTTTTCGTGAAGCCACTCAGTAAAATTACGATTTCTCTGCACCCTGATGTTCAATCAACATCATTCGAGTATCTATATGTTCCTGACACGTTCGGGCATCCGGTTATGACAACGTCTACCCAATGTTTGCACGAGAAATTGACGTAATTCATGACTGAAATCGGGAAGACAAAAATATGTGATATTCTTTCAGAATTGTTTATAATAACTATTTACAAAAACGTTCCCGAGACACAATCCATTTAGGTAGGGTTTGTTTTAAAGTCGAAAAGCCCCAATAAGACAATACAAACCAAGATTAAACCCAGAAGAATGCAGATTTCATGTAATGATTTACGTTCATGTAAACAAGTAAAGTACATATAATCCCCATATAAAACACTGGCCTACGTGACATGTAAACACAGGTTCAAATAGAAATATAGAACATTTTCAACATAGCATTTGCTTCCGTGTTCTGTATGCCCCTCTACCTGCTTAATAAGGCAATGTATCTTCAAATAAAACCTTAGCCAAGTAGATAAAGGTCTCTGGAACACTTTTGTATATAGTTTTCACGGCTTTGTATAAAAAACCTCCTACCTCATACCCACCTACGTGGAACATGATACAGTCATTGAAGGGTTCAATTTTAATGATTATTAAATCTCAAAATAGCTCAAAGTATTAACATTTCTACAATTCCGGCTTTGTTTTATGACTAGACAGATGAGAGATCCATAAATAAAGGCATGTGGATGCATTTTAATGTGTAATGATCCGAGGGCGCCCCGGGGGAATAAATAACTAACGACTGCGACCATAGGTCCAACAAGCCAGAAAAAGAAATTGAAAGAAAGTGTGCTAAATTCGATGCTCCGAGTGGGAATTGAACCCAGCTGGGATGTAGTAGCAACTTGCTATCAAGGATCGTTACAAATGCTTCTATAATTCATCATAAATTTAGATTTAATAGACTAAGATCTTTAAAATTGAACCCTTCAAAGACTGTATTATGTCCCACGTACGTGGGTAGGTGGGTATGAGGTAGGAGGTTTTTTATACAAAGCCAGTTTTCACAAGCAATTTTATTCCCGGACGCCCAAACGTGTCAGGAACACATATATATTTGAATGATCTTGATTGGACATCAGGTTGCAGAGAAATCGTATTTTTACTGAGTGGATTATTGAATTTCATAGATCTAGAGGCCCTTCAGGAGTGGAAAACCTTAAATTATCAGAGATTAATGTTTCCAAACTGTTTTGAAACAAACTAACGTCTTGTTTTCAACCTACACCTTGCTCCCTTCTGTCGTATTTAATAAAACAAAAATAGTATATCACGGAGGGATACGAACCACTCACCTGGGACTTGGTTATTCACTAGCGCCATAGGCGTTCTACTATTCTGGATACAACTGACGAGTCGTATTTAAGTGAGGATCATTTTGAATTGACGCTCGGTATAAATATATAATACTTTTGTTCTTTCATATCGGTAGCTCGTTGGTCTCATGGTTAGCGTGCCTGGCTTCCATTGTCTAGGTTAGTTGATCGAGACCCGTTCATGTCGAACTTTTTGATTTGCTTGTTGTCAAGATATAATAAGTAGGGCAAAATCCAGAAAAAGTAGATCAAAAATACTCCAATGGAGTATAAAATTGTCACCAGGATTCCGGAATGAGACGAATGTTAACTCGTGAAATCTCGGTAGATAAAGTAGGTCAGAAAATCCGGATTTATCCGAACAAGGTTCGGGAATTTCCGTCATAAGAAGTAGGTCAAAAATACTCCAATGGAGTATAAAATTGTCACCAGGATTCCGAAATACGACGAATCGAATCGGGAAACTTCGGTACAATAATGAAGTGCATAAAAACCGAAATGATCCGAACAACGTTCGGATAAAATCGTGAAACAGGTGTCAGGGGCTTCCCCTCATCTTTCCATACATGGTTCTAAAAGCCTTATATGGATCTATCACGTGACATTCAAAATGACGTTCCTATATGGTTCTATGGGCCTTATATGGATCTTTCGAAGACGTGACCTAATACCAAATCAAAATCAAAATTTTACCTTGACCATTGGATGGGATTTCATAGAAAATATCAAAGAAAACATATCCTCGTGATCCTTAATCACTTAAATTCGATAATTTTATCTTCACCCCTTGATGGAATTTTATGAAAGAAGTTATGAAAACACATCATCATGTAAGGGTTTTCACCTAAATTAGCTCGTTTTATCTTGACCCTTCAATTGAATTTCATTGAAAAATGTTTAATGAAAAATATCATCATGTTATGATTTGTATTTAAATAAGACCGTTTCATCTAAATACTTGCTGGATAATATTTCATAAAAAATATTTCAGGATTTGCCTTAATTTATCAATGTAATGTAAGTATTAGATTGACTCTAAAATAGGGTTCTATTTTAATTTTTCTATTGAAATTAATACTAGGCAGGACTCACTCTCTAAATAGCTAATAAAAATTCAACCCTTGGATGTGATTTCGTTGAAAAAAAAATATGACAAGTCCAGAATCAAATGATTTGTCCAGAACCTCTTAAGATCCTGTTAACTGCTCTTTCAAAGAAAGCTTTTCTCCAGTCTTCTCAATTTTCAGCAGGATGCATGAGCCGGAATATTTAAGGAAGTCTTGGGAGTGGTCAAATGGTCATAGTTATGCAACAAAAAACCACGTGCTCCGACACCAACTAACCCTCCGATGCAGCCTTCTAAATGGTAAGGGCCTACACCCACAGCATTTCAGTTAATTTGAAGATAAGTTTGTATCACCTACAAGTCTGTTTATCAATTGTTGGTATATAATTGTTGGTTGATAATAATAATATAGTAACGTTCATCTCTCTCTCTCTCTCTCTCTCTCTCTCTCTCTGTGTAATTTTGCAATAGTAATTTTGTCAATCTTGCTACAGCAAGTAGACATGTTTTCTTGCACTCCGTAAGTCCATTTATACTTCTGTAACAGGACCACTCTGAATTTAGAACAAAGATCATTTATGCGGTTATTATTTCTCAAGGAGTCATGAAAGTCAAAAAATGAACAATTGAAAAATAATTCTTCAAACTGTAATAAAATATTTGTTAACAGCAGATACTATGGTGTTGTATAGATATCCAAGCACAGGTGCCAATGGGAAAGGCCAACAACTGTAAGGAAACCTAGCAAGGAAAGCAAACTCTAAGTATAAACCTGTCATGAGAAAAGTAGACCATATTTATTCCAAATCATGATCTGACGTTAAAAGAAATAATGTCTTACACCCCTTTCTCCTCCAATCGAGAATCAATATCCAGTAGTATTTGTTGCCCTGTCTTGACTTATTAAGAGGACCAATATATTATCCTTTTACACTTTTCAAGTACAATTTAAAATCAATTGTTTTCTCCTTGCTCTATACAGAATTAATGATTGAACAAAGTTCGAGACGAATATACAGAATCAGACCCCCCTCCATCCATTCGTTCATTTGTTCTTCCATCTGTGTGTTCAGGCGTTATTAAATTTGCATATGGAATATCAATGTTTTGATTGATCAAATGAATCATGCGTTTAATATTAAGTATAGATGCGCATTACCTCTTCCTCTCCTTGTTCCAATGATTCACTGTATTGTCTGCTTATTGCTAAATCGGCGACAAAGATGACCCATCAACAGAATATGACATTATTTTTTAAAAGGTTGTAATAATGAAATTAATGGGGTATTTACCATATAAAAAAATTTGTATGTTAGGAATTCTTTAAAGTTTATTCTGTGAAAATTAAATGAAAAAATATTCAAAATTGGGAAAGTTATTGATAAAATAGAGAGGCATGACTTGTTCTGGCCAGGCTACTATCTTACTTTTCTCGAATCACATGCCCTCTTTCTCCGCAATTCTTTGATTTCTTTTTCATATTGTCTATTCTGCTCGGTAATCTTCTCTACCTATAGCCAAATATAAATTATTTCGTGAGATTTAGAAGCAAACTACAGCTGTACATGGAAATAACAACCAATTAGCAAAATTGTCATAAGATTAATATTCTTCTTAGTATTCACATATGAAACGACCGCAAGTTGTTTGTAGAATGCTGTTTAAAATATATTTCATGTATGCCAATAATTCCGCAAATTGTGTAAACTGTACACATTCTTTAATCCCTAGAATATTCTCCAAGCCTTCTGAAGTTTGAAAAATAAAAATACCTGGGTGTTATCAATAAATAATCTTTGAAAATGAGAATTTTTTTTTGGGGGGGGGATTATATGGTGTAATCTTATCGTCAATAAAATGTTTAAAGTGTATTGATGTTTTTAAGTTGAAAAACACAAGCGAAATGCATGAAAAAACTCCCCCTATTAATTCTACAAACATCCTGTGGCCCTTTATTAAAGAAAAGTCGCTACACTAGGATTTTTTAGATCTGAACAGTAAAACAACATAAAATGGCCAACATTTTTCAAAATGGTACCTCACTTTCCAAAGTCTCACTGGATCGAAGAAGTAAAGTGCTTATAATTTTTTTTTAAATATCGCCCCAGAAATATTTCAGTCATAGCAACAATGTAAAATATAACACACAACATTTTGTTGAATGTTATATGTGAATAATCAAAAGCATATTACTATCCAATGACAATTTGGCTAGTAAATGGTCATTTTGAAAAATTGGTCATGTTTATGTTTCCTATTTTACATTGTTGTTATAACTGAAAAAGTAATTATAGTGATTTTGTTGAATTTTTAGAGCTCAAGAAGAATATTAAACTGCGATAACAGTTCAGCTGATGGGCAGTCATTTAAAAAATTGCTGCCATTTATACATTAGTCCCTGGGCTGATTTTTCTAAGAGCTAGGAATTTCTAAGAATTAGTTGTCCAGATTTCGACCATAACTAGCCTACAGCATTGTGTTCAATATGTTTACACTTGGTTATGTCAGCTTTTCCCTCTACCGTAGACTTTCACTTAGAACATGAGGATTTGAGCTAGGACTTAACATGAGGATATGCACTAAGGCCTTAACATGGGGCTATCATCATATTCCCATGCCATCATAGATATTTATTTGCGTAATGTTTTTGTTATCCTGTACCTTTTATACATGTCACATTACATTTTAAGCATTAAATTTAGTGACACCATCCTTTGAACATTTTCAAATTTCCACCTTAATCTTAATAATAAAAAGTATGGATGTGTGATGTATTGATACAAATATGTTGTAAATCATGAAAGCATAATTACCTTTGCTTTATGTTTAGCATTTTCATCTTCCAGAGTCTTTAGCTCGTTCCTCATGTTTTGAATCTAGAAGTAATAATAACTCATATGGTAACTAATTCAGGACTCCAGGTTGCAGACAATAATGGACAAAATGTTGGCTTCTGTTTCATTTGTCGCACTTGAAAAAAGACTTAAAAAGGTTCATTTTTTTCTTTTAGCGTTTGATCATTCTATGTTGTGTCTCTGTAGACATATTATTACTTGTAACTTCAATTGATGGTTAGATTGAAGGGAACTGGTTTTCTGAAAATGACTGCCATTTATAAGTTCCATTAATAAGTAGGAAATATTTTTATACATATTTCTTAGGTGCATTCATTATATGTTGGCAATAGTGGCAACTACTCACCTCCTTAATCTCTGGGTATTTGTCATGCAATTCCTGGAGCTTTGTTTCATTGTTGGCCTGTTCATATGCATAGTTAAGAAGTGTAACTGATGTTATTTTTCTACGATCTTTGAGAGAATCGTCTACACTTGTTTCCAGCACCTCCGTTTCTTCCATAACATTACCTTTCTGCCGTAGGGTATTTCCCAATGCATTCTTGACATCTATATCCATTTCCTCATTTACAAGTGCTTTATCTTTCCACTTGTCAAAAAATGGTTTACTTATACTGTCATTATCTATGAAAGTATTGCAAAGAATGTACATTATTTGTTGTGTCGGTGAGGTGTCATATGTTTTACATTCGTTTGCTTTATTCATTTCTTCCTCAGCTTTTCTTTTGTCATTCATTAATATGTAGGCCATTGCTTTGTTCAAATGGGATGGATCATACAGTGTTGCACTTTTTAGAGACCTGAGTATGTATTCTCCAGGTTTATTATCCTCTTCATGCCCTGGCACTGCTCGATACTGCAAAGTATCTATATCTCTAGCTTTACGCTCTGCGTCTCCCATATTTCCAGCTCTCGGATTTTCTTTCCTTATAATAGTTCGAGCAACATGTCCCTGTTTTGCTTTCTTGTCTGCAGTTCTTGGGTTTGATTTTCTATCCTTTGCTTCCTCCATAGCAAGTACGAATGGGATGGCAGAAAGGAAATAGCGTAGAATGAGACTCTTCCCGAAGACATCTTTATTTACATCAGTCCCAACAAAGATATCTGGTAATAGTTCCCCCTTTTCTACATCCACTTGACCATTTTCATTGGAGTAACATCGTAATCGAATTTCTGCAGATGTTGATAACATCATTTTTAAATTGTGAATGACATCACTGTGTATTTTGGAATTGTTTTCCGTGATGTCCCATGCACATGTTATGTTGTTGCCTATTAGATGAAGAAGGTTATTGATAACAACACTTGGGAGACGGTAGAGCTCCTTTTTCACATGGATTTCATCCTTTTCAATTAGCTTCCTTTTGTACTTGGCATAATATATCTTTTTCACGTTGGAGTGTTTTTCAAAATCGTCCTCTAACTCATCAACAATCATCTTCATCACTTGCTCCCTTTGTGGAGATTTCATGAAACACTTCCTCATGTCAGCCTCAATTTGTTTGTCTCCAAATATTGTTGTAAAATCGCCTTTGAAGAAAAAGAGCAATTTTTTCACGATTTTTGCATTGTCGTTATCCCAGAAGAACTGCATGAAAGCTCTTTTTGTGTTTGTTAAGCAGAACTTCTTTCCATTCTTTAATTCTATCGTGAAATATGGTGTTTTATTCGCCCAAGGCATCAAGCCATCAAACGATATTCCTTGCTTGGTGACAACATATTTTCTTTGATCAAAGTACCAATCTTCACTGCTATATGGACCATTCAGTGATCTTATGTACATTGCTGGAAGAATTGTTTCACCAAATGATAGGAATTTGAGATGAAGTGTCATAATCACATTTGTAAGACGCATCTTATAGTCTGGATTCATCTCGGAGTCATTCGAATCCTGAACTGCAGCAAATTCTACATCGGAATAAGGAGTTGTTTCTTTTCTCGACAATGAACCGAATGCTAAGAAGGCAAAGTCATTCTTGCAAAAGTCTAGGATTTTCTTACATTGCGTCACTAAACGAGACACAAACGTTTTCATTTTGCCTTGGATCCATTCAAATATCTTCCCATTTTCTCTTATTTGACTTTCCTCTCGTATTTTTCTTTCCTCAGGCCGTAGATTAGGCTCAAACCAGAATGATTCCTTATCCATTGATTGGATTTTGTATTTAAGTTCTTTTCTGATGGCTTTTAATTCTTCTTTATTCTCCTCTTCATCCTTAAAGTATTGGTTTGGCGTGCCCTTCCCTGTACAGTGTTGAAAAAAGAGGTCCAAAGCCTTTCTTCTACCTTTTTCTAAATGAACTAATGTTTCGCTGATGTCTTCTGATATTGTATCAGTGGTATTTAATTCTTCATTAACAAGATGGCAGTGCACTATTGCGCATTCGTATATACCAATCGCCTTTATATATTCAAATTGATCACCTTCAAGTCTACCAATCTCACGATGGATATTACCTATTTTCCAAAGAAGTTTAACATGTTTTGGTGTACTTTCCCTCCATTCTTTTTTATCATTTGGTGATTGTTTTTTGTGATTTTTATGTAGTTTATTTATCATTCTAATTGTTTTCAATTCTTCAGTGAATTTTTGTTCCTCGCTTTTGAGGCGTTCTATTTTGATTTGGTTATCTGTCTTGTTTCTAATATGTTGTAACTCAGTGAGGTCTGGTATGTCTTCAAAAAGCTGCAATTGAAATGATATATAGGGTGTATAAAAAAACGCAACAAGTAGTTATCTCGTAAAATCACAAAACTAGTGATGACTACATCAATTCCATTTAATGTACCATAAAGCCATATCTCATCTCGTTGCAATGATATGTCATTCATTCACATGTGGTGATGGTTGGGTGAGAAATCCTTCCATTTGCACAGTGGGCCAAAATCGGCTCTGCGCCAAGTTTTAGATATTGAAAATATCAGTGCAAGGGCTACCAATGGAAGTTCCCCTGACTTGAATTGTTGTGACTTTTTCTTTTGGAGCTATCTCAGGAGCATCTGTGCTCACAATTCCTCCATCAGATATTGCAAAACCTCGAGAAAGATTTGCCCATGGGCTGCTTTTCTTTGCTTTAACCCAGAAATGATTCAGGGCTGAACCATGCATGACGTGGACAGATGAGCGCATCTTTAAGTGCAAGGAAGTGGTGGCAATTTGGAGGGGTAAAGGATGCATTCTTGCAAGAGTATTAATATGAACACTTTACTGTCTCTGCCATACCTGCCACACCTTCTTCCAATAGCCCCTATGCCCCTTGTACTGACTTTTGCAATGTTTTAAACTTGGGTCGGAGCTGAATTTTGCCCCACTTTGCAAATTTAATGATTATTCGGCCAGAGAGGACTCCCTGTGAATGAATGATATTCTATTGCAAAGAGGAGTAATTTAGTTTTTTGGTACATTGAATTAAAAGGATGCAGTCAGCATTGGTTTTATGTTTTCGTCCAATATTGCACTGACTTTTGCAATGTTTATAACTTGACCCGAAGCTAATTTTGGCCCACTTTACAAATGGAATGATTACTCACCCAAACATGACCAACTATCAATGAATGATATATCATTGTAAAGAGGAGACAAATGGCTTTATGGTGCATTGAATGAAATTAATGCTGTTATCACTGGTTTTGTGCTTTTCCAAGATAACAATCTGTTGCGCTTTTTTTGATACGCACTGTGTACATTGTACCTTATAATAAAATCAAATATCTGGCCATTCCAATACAACATCAACAGATTTTATTTCCAAATTGCATCAAAATTAACACACTTCTTACTCATTTATGATTTTATATGCCAAGTTGAAAATGGCATAGTTGTACTCACACGATCGTATGCAACCCGCCTCTTATCTTCTATGTTTCGTCTTGTATCTTCTTCTCTTCTTTTATCTTCCCTTTCTCTCATTGCAGTGATGTTTGAATCCCTTGTTTCTGTTTTACAGAAGCAAACAGATGCACTGCATGAGGGACATCTCTGTTAAATATAATAGGCAGTTTAGAATCGACAGAAAGTGAACATCTCAATTTCTCTAGAAATATTTCAGTATGATTAGTACCTAAATCATCAGCCTATTCAATAGTGTACTTATTTCTACCCAAATTCCTCTATTGATTCAGCATGGCTCAATACAAATTAATGTAAATTGTAAGCACATATTATCTTTACACAAATGATTGGCCTTATAGCTTCAATTTATGCTATGAGCAAGCTTTTACATAGATTAACATGTTGGAACGTATTAAATATATTTACATTAAATAACTCTTACATTAAAAAAAGATTAGAAAGAAGTACCCCAAAATTTTGTGTAAGAATATATGTGTCTATGAATTGAAGGTTAGTGCCCCATTTGCTTATACATCTCCCCAATTGTTAATTTCTGGATCCGCCACTGATATCCTTCGTTTATTTAGCGGATTTTGACCAATAAAAAGACTAAAGGTAAGATATTTTTAATCTGTACATGTTGCAATCAAATTCGCAAACATTCATTAACCTTTGCTGCATAATATACAAATCATGACATAATTTGATTTTCTGAAATTGAAATTCAATTTGCCACGAAGAAGATATATACTGACTTCATATTTCTGATGAAGTTTTTAGTGGTTCACAATCGTAAAGAGTTGCCTTTAAAAGTAAATAAGCATGATTTTATTTGTGGTTATAGACCGGTAAGGTTTAGCCCATGCATTAAAGAACTTGTCTTTTTGACAAACAAACAAGGGAATGTATTGATTGCATGTTTCTGTGAATATCCACATTGTTGCTTCAAAAACTATTCCGAGTAGTGTATTTTTACAGTAAGACCCCTTGTGTCTTTTATCCTCTCTTATTCACACAGCTATTTATTTATTCGTTTCGGGAACAATTGCAAAAAAGATCTTTACATTAAGGTTTTCCATCAAAAATAATAGTAAAAATTTTGCTGGAATGAAAGAACGTTATTTTTCATTTGCCCTGTATAAGACATGACCTGATTAAGGATATCTGTGCTTCGCATTTGAAGCTCATTTTCTCTTCTTTGATCTTCATCATTTCGCCTCTTATCTTCAGTTGCTCGTCTTGAAAATTCTTCATGGTGTAGTTTTTTCCCCAAATCTTTAAGACTACCTTCAGTCCCAAACTTTGCTTGTACCTGAAGTCAGAATTAATTCGCTAATTTACAAATCCAAATATACTTTAGTTTTGCTTTGAATAGTGATATTAGTTTCTGTATCGTACTAGCCGTCGTAGTACAATAATGTGTTTTTCTGATTGATAATTGACTGGTGTAAAAGGGTAGGAGTTCCTATCAAATTATTGTCCTACTCTCCATTGATTTATATGGTGACCTAAATGCAACTCTTTCCCTCATTATCTTATACGCAATCAGGGCCAGTAAGGGCCGTTAAGAAAGGAGAACATAATACCCGGGGGACCATCATTTCATTCACACCGGTTTGCTTGGTTATGTTTCCTTATCTACAGTTGGAGTAATTAATTCAATTGTTCTAGCTTGGTTTTAATGATTTGTGAAATGTTACCTTGATTGTTGAGCTCACCTGTTCCAAAACAACATATAAGCACAATTAATTAAAATTAGAACTTACAGCGTCATATGCGGCTCGTCGTTCATCTTCCTCCTTTCTTCGAATGTCTTCCTCTTCACGTATTTTGTTTTCATTTTTTCGCCTTTTTTTCATCGCTAAATCGTTTGCATCTTGTAGGCTTATATGCAAAGCTTTGCGAAAACAGCAGGAGAATCCCCAATTTCTCTAATTGAAATAAAGAAAAGCATAGCATAAATGACAGATAATGGTCCCTGATTTACATTTACAATTAGTCTAGAAGTATTTTAATAGTTATCTAGTCGTTTAGTTTTCAGCCACAACATATGGCATTGGAAAAAATTGTTTTGATTATAAATAAATCTTATTCCCAAAATAGTAGGTGTAAGGTACAAAACTTTCTAAAACTAAACATAATGACCTAATAAATTGTTTAGATCACATTGAAATATGAGTGATAGTGTGGTATAGTTAAAATCTATGTTATTTTTGAATTAAAAGATACCATCTCCCAATTTACATTCCTTGCCGTAAGGCGAAATACTTATGTAAGTGGTCAGTCATGGTCACTGACCATGTCCATCAGGCTTATATTTAAATCAGTTTAGGCCCATCTTCTAAAAGATGAACATATTCTCATAATTTCTCTTGATAATAAAATAAAGTATTTGAATAAAGCAAAATATGAAATAGTCAGTTATTTAATATAAAGGGAATAATATCCCTTTGTAACATGGTGGAGCAGCGAAGATCCCACGTCCTCTAACACAATCTCAATGGAACTTTTATGGATTTGAGAAATAGAAAATTACACGAAATTTCAACTAGACTACTGGAGGACAAGCAGGACATCATGGTGGATATGTCTTTGCGACAAGGAAAATTTAATGGACATTCTGAGGAGGATTGCGCGCTATGGTTTGCGAATTTCGAAAGCATGGTCTCGATATATGATAAAACATTTAACACACCAGACAAAATTGTACATTCTTTGAGGCTTTTAATGGGACCTTCGGCTCAATGTCAGAGTTGGTTCGGAACGGTGTCGGAGGATGACAAAAAGGATATTTCCTCAATTAAAGCCAGCTTTGTTAAACATTTTGGCGATTGCCAGGCATTGTGGTCTTTAGAGAACAAATTGGCGGACCTTAAGATGGCTGATTGTGCATCTTTAGAGGACTACATAACCAAAGTCCATTCATTAGGAAATAGATTGGACAGGTCAGAGCAGGACAAAACGAGACAGTTTGTGCGCAATTTATAAGACCCAATAAAATACATAGTCTATCCACAAAGTGTGACGACATGGCAGGCGGCGGTAAATGCAGCAAGAATAGCAGAAGAAACGTTGAAGATAGCCGGCAATCTATCCAAGCCGAAGACGAAGATGGGTAGAATAGTTTGTCAAGCATGTAAGGGGAAGGCCATACAGCCAGTGACTGCATCAGGACAAGTGCCAATGCGATGGGGGCAAAGAGCGGAAGTGACACCAGATCTACGAAGTGTCAAATTTGTACCAAATCTAGACACGGGGAAGCGGATTGCTGGTTCCGATATGGAGATGAAAGGAACAGTCACAGAGACACAAGACCAAAAGGTAATGAAAACCATTTTCCCAGATTTCAAAATTCCTCCAGGCCCATTGTTTGTTATGCCTGCAGTCAGCCAGGGCACAGAAGTTTTCAGTGCAATGCTAAAAATTTAAACGACTAAGGCATATGAATGGAGGGGAAGACACTCATATGCCTAGAAAGTCAATAGTCAATGTCTGGGACAATAGTTAAATCAACAAGAAAACGGGGAAGACGAATGTATGAAGAAATCGAGATAAACAATAACAGTCAAATAACTATTGCAGTGAATGGGAACCAAATCAAAGCTTTGATAGACACTGGGGCAGACAAAAGCTTTATTAGCGAAAATGTGTTTAAAAGGTACATGTCATATGAAAAACTTGTCCCGGTAACTACATCTTCAGTCGAAGTGGCAAATTGTGAAGTACTGAAACCATTATGTGCAATTTCTCCAAAGTTTGATTTTAGAGATTTTCAAATGTATTACCAAATTTATGAGAGAAAATAATATTAGGTAGAGATTTCATGTCCGATAACTCTATCGAGCTGGGATTTCATTCAAATGGTACAATGTTGTTACGCATTCCGAAATCATGCAAGGTATTTTTAGCAACGGATATAATATTGCCGCCAAAATCTGAAAAATTGGTAGAATTGCCACTAATTAGCTCAAAGAAAAATGTTAGTGGTTTGATTGAAGGTTCAAGCAAATTGAATAAGTTAGCCGCTTATATGGCAAGAACGATTGATCAATGTGAGGCAAGTAAAATTCGAACAACATTTGTGAATACTAAAAGTGTTCCCATCACTGTCAGGTCTGGTACGCATGTGGGGTCATTTCATTCTCTGACTAGAATAAAGCAGGTTGATAATTCAGCGTTTCCGGCCAATGACTCTTGCGTGTTAAAAAGAATTTATGATTCACAGAGTAGTAATGTCAACGCTATTAAGCCAATCAATGTCCCCTTAGACGTATCGCAATCAGACTTATCAGAAGATAAAAAAAGTCAACTTCAGAAACTTGTCGATAATTATAAGGACATATTCATTGAAACGAATCCTACCTGAGGCAGGTGTCCATTATTTGAACATGAAATTCAATTGAAAGATAAGAATGCACCTCCTGTGCAGTGTAGGCAATATACATTGAGTCCTCCTCAAAGAAAGATACAAAGCGAACTAGTGCAAGAGTTAGCAGAACAAAATGTGATTTCACCATCCAGAAGTAATTACAGTAGCCCAATTCTTTTGGTTTTGAAGCCTAAAACTAAAGAGTGTAGACTTGTTCAAGATTTTAGACAAATAAACAAGCAAATCAGATCAGATCAATATCCATTACCTGAATATCAATCGGTAATTGCTTCTATAGGTGAAAAATGCCCTATGTATTTCAGTTCAATTGATTTGGCTCATGCTTTTTGGGAAATACCACTTTCAGAAGATAGTAAACGATATACTGCGTTCAAAACATTTGATGGGATGACAATGAGTGGAATGTGACACCAATGGGCTTAAACAGTTATAGCTCTGCTATGCAAAAGTGCATTGATTTAGCGTTATCAGGATTGATTAATCAGTCTGCGTTAGCGTATTTGGACGATGTATTAATTTTTTCCACTGATTTTGAATCACATATGCATGATTTACAGAATATTTTTCAAAGAATGAGAGATGCTAATCTGAGAATAAAAGCAAGAAAATCTAGCTTTTTTTAAAAATCGATCACATGTCTAGGCAATGAACTGTCATCTAGAGGTATATCTTGTGACAAAGATAAGGTTGAAATCATACGAAATTATCCTAAGCCTAAACTAAGATCTTTTCTTGGAACGGTCGGGTTTTATAGAAAATTCATACATGACTTCAGCAAAATCAGTTCGGTGCTCTTTTCACTTTTAAAGAAGGAGCAAAGTTTTGAATGGACTAGTGATTGTGAAAAAGCATTCAATACACTCAAAGAGAAATTAATGTCCACTCCGATACTTACTTATCCCGATTATAACAAGCCCTTTAAAATGTTCACTGATGCGTGTGGTAGTGCGATCGCATTCGAATTAATGCAAGAACAGATGGGAAAAGATAGGGTTATATGTTATGCGGGTAGGCAGTTGACCGAGTGTGAAACGAGATGGATGACAACTGAATGGGAAGGGCTGGGAGTAATGTATGCCTTGATACAATGTAAGTCAATAATAGGTCAAAATGAAGTAACAGTTTATACAGATCATAAAGCCCTCACCAGTTTGTTTGAAAAGAAAATACAAGATAACAACAGGATAATGAGGTGGTCCATGTTTTTGAGGGATTTCAACATCAAATTTGAATATCGGCCAGGAAAATCGATTGCGCATGTTGATGGTTTGAGTCGTATACCATATGATCAAATTCCCGAAAATAAACAACCGGTTCATGATGATGATGAATTTTTACCACCTTTCAATGATCTAAAAGATGTTGAGTTGAGGTCGTTGGTGGTAAATCTTGATCGAATTCCCAAAGATTCAAAGTTGAAGAGAATAAATGTGATAAAGCGTGAAAATCGTAAATTGATTATGAACGAAGGCAACAAAAACCAGAACAACGGCAACGCCAAAGCGTAGCGAATCCCATCGAACATTTTTCAAAACGGGCACCTACCAAAAGTGTCATTAGACAGTGTGCCATGCTTATAATATTCACATACCAAATATGAACAAAATCGCTCCACTACTTTTCGAGTTATAGTAAAATACGTTAAAATGGTGGCCATTTTTAAAAATGGCCGCCTTCTACCAAAAGTCTCATTAGACAGTGTGCCATGCTTATAGTATTCACATACCAAATATGAACAAAATCGCTCCACTACTTTTCGAGTTATAGTAAAATACATTAAAATGGCGGCCATTTTTCAAAATCGCCACCTTCTACCAAAAGTGTCATTAGACAGTGTGTCATGCTTATACATATTCACATACCAAATATGAGCAAAATCGCTCCACTACTTTTCGAGTTATAGTAAAATAAGTCAAAATGGCAGCCATTTTTCAAAATGTCCACCATTTTTCAGAATGGCCGCCTTCTACCAAAAGTGTCATTAGACAGTGTGCCATGCTTATAGTATTCACATACCGAATATGAACAAAATCGCTCCACTACTTTTCGAGTTATAGTAAAATACGTTAAAATGGCAGCCATTTTGAAATATGACCACCTTCTACCAAAAGTGTCATTAGACAGTGTGCCATGCTTATACGTATTCACATACCAAATATGAACAAAATCGCTCCACTACTTTTAGAGTTATAGTAAAATAAGTTAAAATGGCGGCCATTTTTCAAAATGTCCACCATTTTTCAAAATGTCCACCATTTTTCAAAATGGCCGCCTTCTACCAAAAGTGTCATTAGACAGTGTGCCATGCTTATAGTATTCACATACCAAATATGAACAAAATCGCTCCACTACTTTTCGAGTTATAGCAAAAATCGTAAAATAACGAGTAAAGGCCGCCATTTTTCAAGATGGCTGCCATGTGCTTTTTTAATATCTACATTTCTAGCTTCATTAATGCCCTATATAATTTTTTTTACATTTAAAACATATTGCTATTACAGTTTTACATATTGCACCTAAATTACTGTAAAATCGGCACTA